GATATTTTTATATATATATTGATATTGTATATAACATTAATATTCTGTATCGTTTCCTTACAAATTCATCTGAAAGTTATATAAAGTATTATAATAGAGTTTTCAGATATCTGGTTAGTACTATCAACTATGCAATAGTTTATAATAATAATAATACTAATCAGATTGTTTATAAATATATACACTCTGATTATATTAGAGATCTGTTTATTCAATATAGTATCTCAGATTATATGTTCTTTATATATAAAGATGTAATCTCAGTATAGTCAAAAAAACAATTTATAATAATTTTGAATTCTATGGAATCAGAGTATTATAATCTATGTAAAGCTTTAATAAAAGCTGTCTGGATTCATCAGTTTCTGACAGAGATAGATAACAATTACTCAGATACCAAAAAGATTAAATTATTTGGCGATAGTCAGGGAAACCTTGTTTTAATTAAGAATCCGGAGATTCATCAGTATACTAAGTATATTACTATGAAATTTCATTATATTCATAAGCAAATACCAAAAGGTTATATTAATCTATAATTTGTTCCAATTGATTAGCAAACTGCTGATAGACTAACAAAACCATTTTTGTCTATCAAATATATATGATTCATTGAGCTGTTACATATAGATAAATATCAATATAATGGAATAGTCCAGTTGTTGAAAACCTAGGACATTCACATTGATAACAACGATATATATTAGGGAAGGATTAATCAGAGGTAATAACTAGGAAAGGGAAGTTAGGAAGGATAAACTAGGATCAAGGTTCCAGAGATTAAAAGATTTATATATTGCCTACATCACTGATTAAAGGGTATATTGAATATAGCCAGTTTCGTAGCGTATATAATACATATGCAGGATATAGCTAGCAGTTGTTAGTCTAACGCACATATACATATAACTTCTTCGAAGGCTCCCTCTCTTAATATTCTTCAAGTTAGCCAATAAGCATTGAACCCACCATATGATATCCAGTTTACGTGAATCATTATTCAACTATACTTGACCATAATTCAACATTATTGATTTGCTTAGAATATATTCATATCGCTACTATGCAAAGTGAAGCTATTTCTTTCTATAAGACGATAACTGAGAGATATTTGATTATCTAGATCTTCTATATATTATATTGTATATTATATCTCATATATAAACTAATCAAGTGATTATTCATTTTATATTTTAATAAAATAATTTTCACTTTTCAAAAATGAATAATTTGAAATTGAAGTATTCTTAATACTTTAGATCGACGATTCACTTTCCATTCTTCAAATTTATTTTTTCTTATAATAACGATGATTAACTTGCTTTTCACCTTCTAAACTTCTTCTATCTTACAACTCCAATCCTACTTTGAAAATTATCTTCATATATCAACTTCAGAGTATCAAGATCGAATCAACAGTAACGATTTGCTCTCTTTGATTTCCAAGCTTCTTCTCTCTGGTACTTTAGAGATCAAGATCGAATCAATAGCAACGATTTGCTCTCTTCAACTTTCAAAAGTCTTCTATTTTACAATAATAGTGACTTGCTTTTTATTCCTCGTTTTTCTTCTATTGTTCAACTTCTTCCCTCTGATACTTCAGAGATCAAGAGCAAATCAACCACAACGATTTGCTCTCTTCAACCTTCAAACTTCTTTTATCTGATACTTCAGAGTATCAAGATTGAATTATACAAGCAACTATCCTTCTGGGCTTGTAAACTCGGAGAGTATCTCTCACAGTATTCAGTTCAATACTGACTATTGTATCTCAAGAATCTGTAAGTCTACTTATACTCTTTATGTAATCTGTATAGCATATCCCCTGTTTTATTTATCTTCTCAGAGAACTCAAGAGGAATATATTATATATAGACAAATTTTTCCAAATTTGCATACTTTCATATGCGTCGAACCCAACTGACTTATGAAAAGAAGATCTAGTACAAAATGGCCACTCGGATCTTCGGAACAGATGTTGGCTTATGGACAAGGCGAACTCTCCTATGCGCGCTCCATGAACTGGATCGCAGAGGTCAGGATGTTCAATATGGAGTTCAGGACAGCAAACAAGCATTGATAAATTTCTTACAAGTCGCTGAGAGAAGCATGTCGGCACCAGAGATACAACAATACCATGCGATTTTTAGATTGATGCTTCGCAATGAATCTGCGCTACAAGCAACACGTGTCTCAGCAAGACACCGGCAACGGGCAGCCACCAGAGGACGCGTCAGACGAGAAGCGGCCTACGGCACAGTCAGAAATACCGCACAAAACCAGCATTGCACACCTCAACAACTGCAGTGCAAGTATCACCACCTAGCCAAGGTACTTCTATCTCGGCCGTGCAAAGTCCAGTCAATCATACAGGAAATATAAAGACAGAAGCCAATGAAGAGGAAATATCAGAAGCTGCCGGCAGTAGACCTGCTGGAAATGAAGCGTGCTGCGTATGTTGGAAAGCAGAAGTTGATATGGCGAAGATGTCAAATGATTGTGATCATGACCCTGAGATGTGTCGCGCTTGTGCAGCCAACTACTTAAAGCATAAAATTGGGGAAGATGGTACACCAGCGGCAGGTGACGAGGGCTACCAAATGAGCGACGTTGTCTGTCCTGCACGTGGATGCCGTTCTGTAGTAAACTACGATGTAGTCCGTCAGTATGCGGATCCCGCAACATTCCAGCGGTAAGTATTCGAACATCTTTGTATATATAAAACTAATTGTATATATAGATACGATGACTATATAACCAGACAGGCATTGCGCGGCATTTCTAAAAACATCAAAGCATGTCCAAATCCAGATTGTGGAATTATGTACGAGAGAGAATCAGGAAGCTCTTACATGACGTGTGCTCGATGTGGATGGGAATTCTGTCACAATTGTGATGTTCTATGGGGACAAGTCACGAGATTGGGAAACCGAGCTCATAGGCACAATTGTGTCTTATACAGCGATGTTGACGCCGGCGCCGGTATCGATTTCTTCGAAGTGCAAGCCAGGAATCGTGCAATCGGAGATCGGGCGATAATAATCGATGATCAAGATGATACTCCTGATAGACAGTCTTCAAGACCACCGACGATTGACAATGTGCCATCGCCAATCCGAGTCAACACATCTCGTCAAATTCAGCGCCAGGATCGATTCCACAATTAGCTGCGGGTATGGTCGCGATGAGAAACGAGCTTGCAACATTAGTCGGAACCACTGCCGCATACCAGTCGGAGATGCGCGAATAGTTGGGCAGGTTGGATGCGATGCTTGAAGCTCTTCGGAGAACCCAATAACCCCCAATAATCGATAGGACCAGTCTATTTTTCTTCGTCAAATCGACTTTTTAATAAACCTTCCATTTCCTGAACCAAAAAATTCTTCTGCAATATCATTTTCTTCATCGAATCGACTCTACAACAAAATCCGTTTCATTTCATTCAACTGATCCTCTAGCAAGCAACAATTCCCCTCTTCCAATCCAGGCACGCTTTTTGTTAGCATCTGATGGTTCAGACGCATGGAAGGACAATGATACAAAGGCTTTAGCGCAATGATTGAGATTTAAATCGAGGATATTATGAATTGCTTCGGCCGAGGAAGGGGTGAATAGCGTTTGCAACTTTGCAGAATATTTCAATAACATAATGGGAGCAAGAGTGATGAACGATATTGATCATAAAAAATACCACAGTTTTCACAATATAAATACTCGTGCCACCAGAAAATATATAAATCTGAAAGCGTTAATATATATCCTGTAAAGTGAACTGCAAGAAGAAAACCCTATATTACTTGAATAGCAATTTGCATATCTTCTGGCAATATACAACTATATGGTGAAGGTACCTACCTATATTGCATTGATATTTATATTCGCAACATTTGCAAGATGAATCCCTTTGGCCGTCAAGCGTTGTATAATATCGAGAACAACGGCTTCAGGGAGGATAACAATATCTGTCCATCGCGGGAAGACTTAGACTGTATACCTACCTGTTTAGGACGTAGTCCCGACCAGCCTCACTTTTCAGGACTCGAGTCTTTCCAAACACCATCGATAGGATGATGAATTCGAGATATTGAATATACGACCCGTTTATACGTTTATACTAGTGATGCTAATTAGCTGCCATTAGAAATAGAGGATAGAAGAAGAAGAGAAAAGTGAAAATTTTACTTTGCTAAAGTATCTACCTATAGCTGTCTATAGATTTCGATAAATTATTATTGAATTTCAGATAGAATAAGTATGAAATAGTATTACTTGATATATTTATTAGAATCTCTAGAATGGATCCACACAGATCCACATAGATTTCTGTGGATACGATCTCCACTTGAGATTGCGTTATTAGTAAGCCACATGGATATAGATTTCTCTAGAAGAATCTATATCCAGATGAAATGTATACTTAGTAAATCATATTATATAGATTCTCAAGGAGAATCTATATCCATGTGAGATATATAATTAGTGAATCATATCATATAGATTCTCCATGAGAATCTATATCCAGATGAGATGTGTGATTAGTAAACCACACTATATAGATTCTCAAGGAGAATCTATATCCAGGTGAGATGCGTTATTAGTAAGCCAATGCCAGTCACATACTGCTCAACTGCCAAATCCCCAAATCCCAACCTCGTCATTTCTCTGTGGCTTTGAGTCTTAAATCGGAGGAACCGGTAATCGGGGGGTCGGGAAATTGGAATGGCGAGGTCAACAATTAGACTTGTAGCCAAGATCCTTAAAAGTACATGTACAGGTCACAGTGTAACCGTAACACAATATTTGCCGTGTAGGCGGCTTAGCAAATGTAAAATCTTAAAAGAGAGAGAGACCAGACGAATGAAATCAATGATTTTCGAATCACATGAAGTTATTGAAGAAGTCTCCGAAGCGCCAGAAGATCCTAGTAAGTACAAGTATCTGACTGCGCCACGTTAACCGCCACAGTATCCGTGAACAATAAAAGCCAATCGGGAAGGATGCGGCACTGAGAGAGATCAATTTTCGTCACACTCGGCAATTATGAATGCTACCCCAAATTGTTGAATTGTCTCAAATTACAAAAGGTAGTAGAAATGAAGAGAATCTATTCGTTGATTGATCAAATTGCAACATTATGCAGGTTCTTAGATATGTATTAGATTTTGATATTTTCCATAGATATTTAATATTACAGTAATAAACAAGGTTGGTTAGTAAAATTCATAGATACCCTTGGAAAGTATGAAGGGGCTGGAGCAAGTGAAAGGTAAAGAGAAGACAAAAAATATATATATTATGACGTAATATGGTTTATAATATTCTAGCCCAAATATCTTGATTGGGTAACAATGATTTGAATGATCTAATCTATCTACAGCAAATGCCAACTCTTTCTTGCAGGTCAGGTAGGTTAGCTTGGTGACGTTGTACTACGACTCAAGTAAATTCGGGAAATCGTACCATTCAAATTATAGTAAACAAACCAAGCCCAAAGTCAAAAATCCAAAGTCCTATTCATACATAAAGGTCCATATCCACTTCCCCGTTAGTTACTTTTTGCAAACAAAACATATACATTCCAATCTTCTCTACAGCATAAACAAAGAACCCTCGACTTTTAAGACAACACAACCCATCAACAATACACACAATACACAACACAAAATAAACCATACGCATTTTTTGAATTTGATACCCGTTCAACAAATAAATCCAACATCATGCCTTTCACAGCCAGGTAAGAATCAATCATCCTCCTACTTACTTTTCGATATTATCATACGCCACACCCGCACCACACTCTACTCAATCATATCAACAAGAATCATTTACTGACATTCTATAATAGCGATATCTGTAAGATTATTCTTGCCGTCCTTCTACCACCTCTTGGTGTATTCCTTGAGAGAGGATGCGGTGGCGATTTGCTCATTAACAGTAAGGCTACTAATATATTCAATTTCTTTAGCAAACACTTTTGAAAATACTAATACGGCTTCAACAGTTCTTCTTACCATTCTTGGATACATTCCCGGTATCATCCACGCTTTGTATATCATTCTGAAGTATTAAGCTTCCCACGATTATGAACTCGGTCTGCTTAAACAACAAATATATCCCTTACCTCTTAACGATAACGAACAATACAATACCTCAACCATCTCACCTTCTCTCTCACCACCACCTCGTCACTCGATCAGGCGTTGCGTTACCACACGGTTTATGCTCAGACATACTAATGAATGATCAATCAATCTCTTGGCATCGTAAGAGTCGGCTGCAGATTGCTTCTCGGCTTGAAAACATGATGGCTTGGGAGTTGAATTTGGACATGGGCATGAATTATCATGTGGGATGATGATGGTTTTTCTGATTATACTTTTCTTGCGTGCGCATCTCACACAGCTGGGGTTTTTATGATGTGGTCTCACGCAGCTGGGGTTTTTTATGATGTGGCATCTTTTTTTTTTCATTGGATTTTCTGGCAGCATGTCCAAGGACTTGCGGTGCAATTACGGGTTTTCAGGTGGAATTGTACAGATGGATGGATGGATGATGAATAATAATATAAATGAACTCAACCCAATTCTTCCATTGAGTCTCAGATTGAGGAACATAGATGCCGTGACTGATTAGTGCTGTGTCATCGACTTAATGACTGATATTTTCATTTATCGATAGAAAGATAGATAAAATGTTGTAGCCAAGCAGTACAGCAAAATTAAGCTTCCAGCCTTGGAGGGTTGAGGGAACAATGGATGCCGATCCTGGATATCGATTAATGCCGAGCCCGTGAATCCGAGATGAGCTAAAAACATTTCTCAATCATTAATTCGAGGGCCGGTTGCTGTTGAACTACCGGTAACTGACAAGTTCCACTCCTTCTACCGTCAGCCTTTCCGTATTGATGCCTTACTTCCCAAGGCATAAATAAAACAGCAGCCTTAGTCCACAATAGACCACACTAGGCTTTTAGCGACGCAAACTCTTGGCGTCCCACAGACAGAAAATTTACTTTTCACACTCCACCACCTCCAATCTCAACCACCAGCAATACTCAAATTCGGCGTAGGATATCCATTTCTTTGCGACCTCACTCAAATCAAACCAAAATGCCTCCAAACGTACGTCTATAAAACCAAAAGAACCGCTTTGCTGTTGGCCTGCTTTCCTTTTTATCAAGAAGAGTTATGGCGTGATGCAGTAGGCTAAAATTATGTTATTTTTCTATCGAATAGGCAAACAAGAAGGCACCCGCTGTCAAGAGAAAGTTCGTCATCGACTGCAAGCAACCTGCCAATGACAAGATCTTCGATACCAGCGCTTTCGAGAAGTTCCTCCAGGAGAACCTCAAGGTCGATGGTTTGAAGAGTAACTTTGGTGATAAGGTCCATGTTACCAAGGATGGTGAGAGCATTAAGATTGAGACTTCGGTTAACTCCGGTCATTACCTTAAGTACTTGTATGTATTCCTGCGAAATTTGAGTTTCCTCTTGTTTGTTGATGACATCTGTTGTGGTTTTTTGGGAATACCTTACTAATGTCCATCTTCATCATAGGACCAAGAAGTTCCTCAAGAAGAACCAATTGAGAGATTGGCTTCGTGTGGTTTCTACCTCCAAGGGCGTCTACGAATTGAGATTCTTCAACGTTGTTGGTGATGATGCCGAGGAGGATGAGGAATAGATATTACATCTAGGATTCGAGAAATGATACCATGATGGACTGGGCTACGGACTAGAAGATTGTGAGGAGAGTTGGGATTTAGCAGTGGTGGAAATAATCAATGCTATATTACTGCTCTCTCAAAATGTTTGGCTTTTGATTTTGATATTGACATTGATGTGTGTTGGTGAAGTTATAAATGTTCTTGGTTGAAATTGATAAGCTAGTTGCGTGTATTATCTACCTAGGTATTTCATCACAGATTCACAATGTGGCACACAATGCGTAAGCATCTCTTCTCCCTATCTCCATATCATCATATCCATATCCCACATCCCCAATATCTCCAACCCCAGAATCCAGAGTCCATACATACAGCCGATCCATGAAGAGTCGATTATAGTATTACCGCACACGATGCGTAAGTATCTCTTCTCTATATCTCCATATCCAAATCCCCCCATCTCCAATATTTCCAACCCCAGAATCCATAGTCCATACAGCCGATCCATGAAGAATCGACTACTCGTATATATTATCCTTGAAATCCCCCCCTACCCCCCACACCCTAATCATTATCGGCGAAAATAACAATTCCAATTATGTCATGAATACAGTACAACATACAGTAGGGTCAATACCTATGTTTAGGATGATTTCTGATTTCTGCTGTGTATTTGTGTGTGTATGTGTGTGTGTTTTAGATTAGCCACTAGGTAGTCAGTCACCTTTTACTGTACTGTATGTATGTATGTATGTATGTACCTAGGTAGTAAGTACTGTTAGATGGAGATTGAGATTGGGATTGGAAATTTGGGATGTTATAAATGTTATAAATGATATAAATGATATAAATGATATAAAGGAGTGAGAGTGGGTGGATTCAGTGGATTAAGTGGATTAATATCAGAACGAGTGAGAGTGAGAGGCAAAGGAAGTTATCTTTTGTATTTGTATTTGTAGATGTTTGGGGAATGAAAATGGGAATGGGGGGGTGAGGGGGTTCAAGTGTATGGACGAGTATATGGGATGTAGACGTAGATACACAGGAGAGCTGATACGTTTATATGTATATCCGAGTCCTTATAGTTTACCTTCATACTGGAGTAGTTTGATAAGGTTGCTTTATATTCACGTTTATGTTCCTCTCTTATTCTTATTCGATTTTTAGGTTGGGTTGGGTTAGGTTAGGTTAGATTAGCAAGTAAAACATGTATGCAAGAGATCTGATTGAAGATAGATAGATCTCTTGTGTATAATATGATACAATACAATACAGACCTGCTGGAGAGATTCTGGAAGAGATGTTTATTCCTACTATACAGTATATTAACCTTTCACAGTGTTCACTACTGTTGGTATTCAGAGTCTAATTGACTTGATCCACTAAGTCATCTATCTATTGCTCTGCTTTGCAATCTTAGGTAAACCTTCCTTCTCTACTTCTACTTGTAATTGCCTCTGCACCCTTTCCTTCCTTCTCCAATCTAATTCAATACCCTCCACTCTAGAATCGTGATCACTACCTACCCGGTAGGTCCAGCTAGGTCCAGCCCTTTTGAGATGAGATGAGATACAGAACTTAGTGACTTTGTCCTTGCCCTTATCCATTCTTTAGGAATTAGGAACGAAACCGGTAGGTCGTTCCCTAATCAATTCAATAATTAATTATATTCCTATCAACCCTTCTATATTCTATAGAATATACTACCGGTATTATATTCCCCGGCCATAAAATAAGTCGCAGTAATAGAGATATGTAGAAAACAAGAGGTAGAACACAAAGGTAGAAGTAGAAAACCCCATTTCCGAGGGCAGCAATACCAATACAATCCCTGGGCAACAACTCAACTCCAGCCGGGTAAGAAATCCATCCATCCGATCCGATCCGATCTGATAGATAAATGACGGTCATGCCATCGACACCGCTGATTCTATATTATTATATTATTATCACTCTGCCCTTCTGACAGCTCTCTGCTTTTCTGCAGGTATCCGTAATTCGAAGAAATATACAGTATAGTACTTATATATATACATAGTGTTGTTTTGAATTTGTTGCTTCATTGCCGATCCGATGTGAAGATGTGAGATATAAGATATGAGGCCATGCCATGCCATGCCTCGGACTTCAGTAAGAGCAGAGTTTCGCTAGTCAATCTACTCAGAATGATATCTATCAAGAATGATGGATGTTGTATCGGCGATCATATCATACTCTGCATGCAGCATGGTAATGAATATCTGGACTCTGGAATTGAAAAGCTGAGGGGATGTTTGTTTTGTTGTGAAAATGAAGATGGTTCAATGTAATGTATTCTCGTGTTGTATTGCATCAGGAATCAGGATGCAGGATTTTGACTTTGCAAAAGGTGTCGTTGATGCTCTACCAACACTACTGATTATTCACCAGCATTATAAACGGTAAAGTATTTCAATGTGGATCGTGGCTGATAGGGATCGAAATACCGGTAGTGGGTATGGGATGGAGCTTCGGAAACGACGTAAAATAAACCTTACCTTTGCTATCACTTTATATATAGTCGAACGAAGGAGAGGATTATATTATCGAGTGAGAAGGATTCTTTTCCTAGTAATCCAGGAATTTTCATTGGTCTTGATCTCTTGTATGATAGTGTATCGATTCGTTCACAGGAAAGGTTTCACTTGGTTTTCTTTTCCATAGTTCCATAATGAGGTTTACATGGCGACAGCTGAAATAAGATAAAAATAAACATGATGGAGACTGGACCGGTGGTTGATTCATAGCATTTCACCAAAATCCTGTAGCATACTCATGTAGGATCACTGCCACTTCAAACGCTTCACCAACCCATGGCTTTATAATCTCGGCATACAGTCTTTCCACATAATCCCCTTCCTCTTAGACTCGCAAGACCAGCTAAATTTGTATCGTGCGTAACTATCAAGGAACTTAGAAGTAGCACCCACAAATGTGGCTCTTTAAGCTTTTCAAACTATTCGGGGTGAAGCGAATTGGTATACAATAGCAACAGAAGATAGGTCTCGAAGTGAAGGAGAAATGGTTGGTTACTGCTTTTCTTGCTGTGTGGGCCTCATCTACTCGTCGAACGACAATGCGACCTATCTCTATGCCTTATTCGAGAAAGATACATAGACAGATGTTAGATAAAGAGCAAGCCCTCTCGAACTTGATAAAAGGACATGAGAGGTCCACAATGGTGGGGTGGCTAAATTATATCTAAGAAGAGTGTAGGTTGAATTAACCATAGGAGTGCAGTCGTCCACACCCTTACCCACTCTTGCAGATAGCCTTTCCCTCCTCTTTGCCCCCATTTATCATAAATGACTACTTGGCGCCCGTCTGTGCTTAGGCATAAAGCTCTCTAATATATCAAGCCACTGGTCGAGCGGTCCCTAGTGGGAAGGAATCATACCGGTATCCATAAGCCGCAGCTCAAAGCTCTGATAACCGAATGTAATTCTAGCCTCTTGCTCCCCGATGTGCATATCCCACGGAATTTTCTTTCGCTATATGCAAACACAATGACCATAGTCCATCATCGTGGCTCACTGCCAAATTCTAGCATATGCTTCGTATCGAGGTCGCTTTCATTGATATGCAACCGTTCAATCTGTATATTCAGACCGTATCATGATACGCTCGCTCTGAGCAACGTTATCAGGCTCAGTCTCTATCAGACCTTTGAAACTTGCTTGAACTGGATAGAGTATATATTTGAACAATACCCGTATTGGGATATTGAGATCAGAGGAGTGGAAGACCGCAGGACGACCCCCGCACCAGATATTAATATCGTAATGGAAAAATAAGAAATTAGGCAAGTAAGGATATTCACGAGCTTGCTAGCATCAACTTTCAAGCAACCAGGATAGCGTATGACTCTTGTCCTAGCCATGAGAAACACAGAAACACAGAAACACAGATAAACATAAAGCACCCGATCCTAGCATACAGTCACTAGACTGCCGACAGAACAAATATGATTTCGAGGTTGTAAACAGTAGTAAAATGGATGTGTCCCGTGTCTAGTGATGGACAAGAAAAACAATATAATCATTTGCTCCCGGTACTGACTCGGTCATCTTCCCCCAGTCTCAAGCGAAATTATTGGTACTTGACCAAGATGGTATTAAGATACTATAATAATATAGATAGCGATCCGTTTCAGACAAGTAACGACGAAGTATACCACTATACTTTGACAACTTCCTTTGATTATTTGTATCCATATGCTGTCTGTTGGTTTGGTTATAGAGCTACTCAAATCGAAGTAGATATTGACCTACAAAACCAAACACGCACCCCTTATAATCTCCACAGATAGTATCGATAAAACACCACAATAATCCCTTTATCGCATCTTCGAATCACTACCCACGAATATAGGTCATCTCAAAAATTGCAGAACTTGCAGAGCTTGATGCTGTCCGTTTGTTGACTTCGTAGGGTGAAGATCGAAATGGGTGATTGTTTCCTTACCCTTTCCACCTGACCTGCGGCATTGGCAGTGATATTCTCCTTCTTGGCATCTACATCCATCCATGCAAGAGGATCAAATCCATTCAGCCTTTGAATAGTGATTTTGTAGTCCTTTGGCGTGAACTTGGGGCTTTTTGTTTATTGCTGAAGGTTGTTATGGTACATGACAAATTGTCGAAGAGTCTAAGGGCATCATGACAGAGACATCGTTTTTTGAATTATTGACAATGAACATCCCTGCATGCAATGCTAGACAAGGATTATTGGGTCAGAGGAAGGTAGATTGAAGGTAATATTGTAAGCTGTGTTGTTGGTCAACCTCTATCAAGGGTGGCGGAAAACAGAAATAAAAAAACGAGTTCCCATCAACGATTATCATTTCTTCGGGCTTAGGCAAAGATGCGCCATACGCATCCACTCATTATCAAACAAGGCATTTCACACGCACGACAAGATGATCACAATGTATGGAGTTTACTTTTTAGGTTGTTTGGATTTCTCATGTCCATGAGCTTTTTACTATGCCATGTTTTGAAGTACATCCTGCCTAATGACAAGGAACCACAAACCCCGGAAAAGCCATAAAACCTCAAGATGATTGACGCACGCCCTTTACACCACCCCTTTACGCTCTCGACATAACACCCCAAGCCCGAATGATGTTGTCTGTGTAACCTGCGAACAAAGTTTGTCCATCCGCGCTCCATGCCAAACTGACACACTCTGGCTCTCTGCTCTTCTTGCCAACAGCTTGGAACTCTGGCTTCAACTCATCAACCTTGCTCTTCTTCTCCAAATCGAAGATGATGATGCTGCTGGAAGTAGCAGCGCAAAGCCAGTATCTGTTGGGGGAGAAAACGAGGGCGTGGATCTCATCACCAGCGTTCAAGGAGTAAAGGTGCTTAGACTCGTTCAAGTCCCACAACATGGTGGTTCCGTCCTTTCCACCGGAAGCGCAGAGGGATCCGTCTGGGGAGATGGTGACGGTGTTTATGTAACCGGTGTGTCCGATGTGGTCGGTTTGCAATCTGCAAGAGCTGAGCTCCCAGACCTAAAAATTGTATATTAGCATTGGTTCCAGGCAAGTAAATTTGGTACCAAGTGAGTTATGCGAAGTCAATTTCAGGGCAATGGTGTTGGGTTGTCTCATGGCCTGGTCTCCCAGGCTCTGAAGTAGCAAATACTTTAATGCAAAACATCATATGAACTTCGCACAACTCCAGTTTAAAGTACCATAAAGAACAAATGTAGCTTACCTTGACAAGCTTGTCCCATCCAGAGGAGACAATGACAGGGTTTTGTGGGTTAGGGCTGAATCTAACGCAAGAAACCCAATCGGCGTGTCCCTTCTCAGAGATGGTGAACTTGCAGTCACCGAGAGTGTTCCACAACTTAATTGTACGATCGCGGGATCCGGAGACAATCTGTCTGTTATCGGCAGAGAAGGAAACGGAAAGGACGTCGTTGGTGTGTCCAACGAATCTGCGGGTGGTGGTACCAGTGGCAAGCTCCCAAAGGCGGAGAGTCTTGTCCCAGGATGCGGAGAGAGCGTAAGCACCATCGGAGGAGATCACCTAGAAATCAAAGTCTCAGCTTTCAATTGTAATTTGCAGACTGCGCTCATAATTCCCAGAGCCACCAATTTCAAATGAGGTAACGTACACAGTCAGAAACAATGTGAGAGTGACCGTGGAGAGATCTCTTTGGGTAACCATAGTTGCTCTCATCGCGGGTCAAGTTCCAGATGATGAGAGACTTGTCGCGAGAACCGGACAAGAGCATGTTTGGGTTCTCGAGAGAAGTCGCAAGAGAGGTGACCCAGCCGCTGTGGCCCTCGAGGGTGCCCTTGAGGATAAGTTGTTCCGCCATGTTCGAGTATTGATCTGGTTGACGGAGAATTGAAAGATGGGCAACGGTAACAGTGGTCTTTAGGAATTTGAGAAATTTCGTGGTGGGTGGTTTTCCTAAGCGAGATTTATCGGCGAGTACTAGCGTGGGAACTTTCAAAAATGGACTCTGACCTGGAATTACTGTGATATGATTTCTTTGACCACAACAATTTGAAAACTTAAGAATTCGATTTGATCGATAAGAGGAATGAGAAGTCCTTGATCCTAGAAGGAAATTGTTGAAGTGATTTGATCTTATCATCATGTTCATATCCTTACATTTCAGGCACGTTTTGTTGTAGGGCAAGCCCGAGCAGAGGTAACCTTTTCGATGATATATACTGGTACTGGTAGATATTTACTGCATGGTATGGACAAGAGGAATCGATTACATTTCAGCTGTTACCGAGTGGGCCAGTTGCTCCTACTCATCATATCGTGTTGGTCTTCGAGCAAAAGAGGAAGTAACTTTATTGATTGATCTTCCTTCAAAGCATTGTGTCACGTGATACCATATGGGTGTTGTTCAATATCAGAGACATCTAAAGTTTGCAACAATGACCAAAGTAACCATAAAAGGTAAAGACCTTCAAAGATGGTCATTGATTATTGTTCAAGTTATTTCTCCTACCTAAGCTGCAGTGTCTCCGCCCAAAGCGTCATATGGAGTTCCTCCTGTCGTTCCCTTATCTCTAGGAAACCCAGCATCATTTGCCGATTGAGCATTTTCCCTCATCATCTTCTGCTCAGCAAGTCGACTTGGATCATTCTTCCCTCCTATTACCGAATGAAAACTGGCATTATTTGCATCGTTGCTCTCAAATCCACCTTCCTTCAAGTTCTTTCCTTTTGGTTTACCACCAGATTGGTATTGATTGTTAATATAACTCGGTGCTACTCCTGCATTGCTTGTACCCTTTTTCGCGTTGGGATTCCTAGCATCTTTCTGGTATGAACCAGTAGCTCCAAGTTTCTTCTCTTCCGCCCAGTCTTCCGTGGCCATTCGTGCTTCAGCGTCTGAAGCAGGATCCAGGCGTGTAGCTCCTGATGTGTTGGTATTTGCGAATGTGGAGTTCGAGCCCGCAACACCTAATGGTTCGCCATCACGATTCTCAGCGAAGCCTCCTCCAGATCTTGTTGACTCGGCTGCAAGTGAGTCTGACGCTACTGCTCCGGCACCTTCTTTGATGATCGAGTGTGGATCGTTGACCTGGAAAGAGATGTGTTAACAATCATAATAGAAATACGGACAGGTCGAGGCAAATAATTCATGATACGGCCTCATCATATTGATTGACCTGCAATCCAAGTGGCAGCTTTTTTTTTTGAACAGAAAAGAGTCTATTTACCTTTGTGCCGGCATTAGACATGTTGATGGTAGATAGATGGGTATATGTAGCGAATATTGGTTTGCAAAGCTTCGAAAGATGATTTGTTTACGGATTGAAGATAAATGTATAACACCCAAGTTGCTTTGTTTGAATTCAGTTCGTCCTCGGACATCCTTTGTTCTATGTTAACACATACAGCTGGCGTCGGACCATGACATCATTCTTAAATGTTAAAGTCAAAGAATTATTCCTAACCCCGTTCCTACTTCATAAACATGGTGCCGGGTGTTTTTCCATCAATCAATTCAGAGCAATGGGAAACTTGTGGAGATTGTAAAAATAGTTGGTGGCACTTCTGCATATCTGGGACGACGTCAGCGTCAGCGATAAGTTGGCGGGAAATGGAGGGGTAATGATCACGTGCTGATATCCATCTTCAAAAGTTTGTCGCAATTTTGCATCATCTAGGGGGAAGGAATGGTGTTCCAAAAGTTTACTTCTCCCTAAGATCATATACCAACTTGTTAAAAAAGCGTTTCGAGTCCAAGTTTACATTAGATCTTCAATACGATTCCGTTCTATTATTCGATGAGTCTCCGATTTATCTAGGCAATTCTCGATATTTCTCTGCTGTGCTGAAATCCATTGCTTCGAAGTTGTCTTTCGTTTAGGGTTGGAAGACTGAGCAAAGTTTGTCCGCCAAATCTTAGGCCAACTGGGGGACCTATGGCAACCAGTCCAGGGCTTCAGCAACAGTTACTGACCATTCAGTTCGCCCTCTCTCCATACGGTTTTAGTACCCTTGGAGACGAATTTAAGTGGTCATTCTGTATTATTATCTAATTATTGAACAAGTACACGAGCGCTTGCATATACATAAGGAGGACTCCCCCCCCCCTCATTCTGGGTACATACGAGCAGTCTATTAATAATATTGTAGGATTCTAAAGTCATGCTATCTTCACTACAATTCCTGGATTCTTATGGATAGGGGTTCTTTAGTCTCTACCTGTTTTTGTAATTGCCAGGATCTTCATAAATAAAAGTTGAAAGTTTTTCACCACTACTTGGTCGTACAGGTGAATATGTTATTGCTCCTCAAGCAACAAATTTCACAAGCATCATTCGAAAATTGACGGAAGCCCCACTTACGACGCATTTAAACAACAAGAGTTATTTCTCCAGTGGAGTCCGGGGGGGGAGAATTTGACAGCCAATATGCCACAATATTGTCCGATATGTTGGTGTACTTGGGAGGCAACTGCGAGGAGTGATCAGTTTCTTTCATGGAATATACTTTTCATTGGTTATCGAGTCCTCACTCCTTCCTATACATTAACTTATAAAGTATCAGAACGATGTTGAGTTCTGTCCTTGATATTTGTAAGGTTTCGAGTGGTGTGGATTTGAGCCCCCTTTTGTAACTTTGATCGCAAAGACATTTCTAGTAGGTATCATCACCTTTCACCTCGATTTCCCAAGAACCGATCTCGAATTACCGAACCGATGGAGACTCCATTGATAGTTGTACTAAGCCCCTGCTTGAGGAGAATTATGTCAAAGATCTTTCCTAGCCATTCACCTCATTTGGATGTGGTCTTTTTTTTTGGAAGGGCGTCCAAATAGCGACGGACCGCGAATCTGGTCGCTCTCGAGACGGCACAACGGTGATCATCCTTCAGATGAAAGGGGTTCGTCTTTCTATTACATCCCATATCTTCCCACATGCTATCCGGCCGAGACAGATATAGCATAGCGGCCAGATCTATATACATGTTCATGATTGGCGTGCTGGTTAATCATGACATCACACAAATCAATGCATGCGCGCAATAATCGCCTCATGTGATGAAAGGGATTGGTGAGCGATGGAAGGATGGGAATATATGGGAATAGAGTCATCCTTGGTGTAATTAAAATGGATTAGGGATTTTCAAGAAGAGAAGCATCTCTAGTCTATTTCTTGGAAGATATAAATCTCGTGCGATCAATTATTTAATTGGGGTATCACAACTAAGGGAGGAACAAATTTAAGCTTTTGAACGCTTTTCGAATGCTATTTGATATTTAGTTCCTGCGGGTACAAGATGCGTACAATACAACATTCCATCCATGCATCCATTCACTTCACTCATAACCCATCATCATCAATCAATTATTCATGCCAACCCAATTCCCCTCCTTCCTACACCTACTCCCTCTTCTCCGCCCCCTCCCTCCCAATACCACTCAGATCCACACCCCCCTTCTCTCTAACTCCACTACCCCCCGTAGCCGCCCCCTCCAAACCAGCCGATTGCGCATTACCCGTCGAAGACTGGCTCGTGACATCTCTGCCCGAACCAACATTGGTTTTGCTGCCATCAGCGGAATTCCAGTCGCTGGCGACGGGAGGATCTTCTGGGAGGGGGAGATT